TACATAAATTTTAAAATGTAATTTTACTATTTCAAAATGTAAATTTTTTTTATTTTTTACACTATATAGTATATACTATTAGGAACTAGTTACACAACTGTTATTCGTACAAGCGCGTGTTCTGAAGCAAGTAATATACAATAATTCACTTAAAATATGACATATACGTCTTAGCTCTACAACTGGATTGTTCAAAATTTTGAATATTTTATACACTTACATGGAAGTAGGAAAGGAACAAATAGCCTCACATATTTTTTTTAAATATCTTATCTCTTAAACTTTTAAAAATATTGCATAATTAACATTCTCCAAAATTAAAATTTGGTTAAATTAGAATTCTTTTAAATAAAAAGTTGTGTAAAGAGAAATAAAATGAAAAAATTTTTAGTGAACTTTGATAAGCTGTAACTTTTTTGATTTTGAGTTTTTCAAAAAAATTGCAGTAGAAAAAGGTAAAGAACTCTTAAAAGTGATATCAGAACTCTGGTCAGAACTGTTGAAACTTTGATGAATTTTAATATCACAAAAGATTTTAGCGGATTTTGATAAGCTGCAACTTTTTTGATTTTGAGTTTTTCAAGAAATTGCAGTAGAAAAAGATAACTAACTTTTAAAAGTGCTATCAGAACTCTGGTAAGAACTGTTGGATCTGTGATAAATTTTAAAATCAAAAAATTTTTAGTGGACTTTGATAAGCTGTAACTTTTTTGATTTTTTTAAAAAATGGCAGTAGAAAAAGTTAAAGAACTCTTTAAAGTGCTATCAGAACTCTGATCAGAACTTTTGGAACTTTGATAAGCTGTAACTTTTCTGATTTTGAGTTTTTTAAAAAATGGCAATAGAAAAAGTTAAAGAACTCTTTAAAGTGCTATCAGAAGTCTGGTCAGAACTTTTGGAACTTTGTTAAATTTTAAAATGAGAAAATTTTTTCGTACGTTGATTAGCATTTTTTAGTAGTTTTTGGTAATTTATAGATTTTTGTAATAAGTGCATGTACGGATGTTTGATGATAAAAATTATTAATTTAAAAATACTGAATCTGAATTTTAAAAATTTTTTGAAAAAAAAAAATTTTGAAAAAATTTTTTTTTATAGATCTATAGAACTATTTATTGAGAAGTTTTTTTATCGTGTCAGAACTCTTTTTAGCGATATAAAAGGTGCTGTGTGAACTTAGCACCTGATTTTCGTTCTTTCGATTTTTTCTTATTTAATTGACGAAACTATTGAAAGTACAGTAACAGAACTGTAGAACTGTGGTTAAGGAATGGAGAACTCTATAGAAAAATTGAATATCTTTGAAAAAAGGTGCTAAGTTCACGGGGGTCGACACTTCTGTTCACTAACACATGCAATTTTCGTGTCACGACATGCGGTCCTGCGTTAGTGTGTATATTTGTTTATCATGCCGGATGTATTTTAGCAAATTAAAATATACGTAAACAAATTACTGCAGTGTATATTACAGGATTTTACGTTCTTTAAGTAAATAATACATAGAAATCAACCAAAGAAAACAATGTAATAAATGTTGACAATTGAGGTTATGTTATCCCCTTCACTGACAGCGACACATACGCTGTATCGTGAAAAATCAGGGGTCTAAACTGTCAGGGACACATTCGTTATGTCGTGATCATCTTAACACAAAATACAGTACAATTTCGGTAAGTGTTGGGTTTGATAAGTGTCGGATTTCTTCCACGCCTATAATCTTGGCAAGTGTCGGGTGCCTTTCTCCTACTTTTTGCGTGCTCATCAAAAAATTGAATTTTAATCTAATTATATATTAAATTATTATTTAATCTTTCATATCCGAGAAGAATTATACATTATACATTAATAAGCATTGGAAGACACCATAATACGACACTGTCTGCCACCCCACCACTACTCAAGGGGCAATCCGACACTTATCAAATGTTGTGGTCCCGACCACCCGACACTTACCGAAATTGTACTGTAAATGATATTTACTATTTAAATTGTAATTGTAATGTTAATATAAAATAAAATATTTCACAAATAAATAAAGTAATTGCAATTCTGAATCTACCAATTGAAAACTGACGTAATTCCGCATCCAACAAGACCTATATGAACTATTTTGGATTAGGGGATTTTTTATAAACAATTGCAATGTTAGCCAAATGTTCATTAACAATCCACTAATCCAAAGTACTTCATATAGAGCTTGTTGGATGCGGAATTATGTCAACTTTGATTTGGTAACGTCAGAATTACGATTAAAAAAAGTAAAAAAAATGTTTAATTCTCAAAAAAGTGTCAAATTTATAGGTCAATTTTTTTTCATTTTTCTGTTTAAAAGTTATGTCTTCAAAAATTCTCTGCTTAAATTTTTCAAAAAAATCCAATATCCTCCTCCTCCTACAGTTTTTGAAAAAACCTAACAATACTTCGTGGTTAAAGTACTCACCCATAGGTCTCTTGCACTATGTGCAAGTTACAGCCCGATCCGATCAACTTTTTTTTCACTTAGTACGCTACAAGAAGTTTACCCCATATATATTGTAAAAGCAGAATGGATTTTCATAAATTTTTACCTGCTAAATATATATGGAAAATAAAAAATTGAATAAGGAGGTTTACGGTGCAGGGGAGGGATACCCCAGTGCCGGCGCTGTTGGAGGTGAGCAAGTTGACTTCCCAGCGTCGAAATCAAGTAACAACAGTGCTGCAATATTGGATACCTTGGGTGCTGACGCATTTAATGCCACAAAGAGGATGGACCATGGAGGCACCCAGTTTCTTAAGGTTTCCCAGGTTCGTTTGGAAAGACTTGGAAGTAGAAGAGGAAGTACTTCAAGTGTTTCTGGTGGCAGCAGCGGAAGAAGTTTGTACTGTCTGACCTAGACAACGAGGCCATAAACGAGGAACGCGAAATATGCGTCAGTTTGAGGAAGGAAGAATCTAAGTTCCTTCTGAAGATCGAAGAGGAGGTCGTCAAGATGGTGAAATCTTGCGACATCCAGAAGACCGTTAATAGAACGATCAAGGATGGATTAAAGGTTTTTCAGGACCTTGTAAATGGACCTTGCAACAGGGAGAACCGGACCTACAGAAGAGAGCGTATTCATGAGAAACGTATTCAAAGCGCGGTCCTAGAGGCGCAAAAGAAGAAACAATGTACGATCAGTCCGGAAGAGACAAAAGACGAAGTAAAAAAGAAAAAGGAGGAAGCACCTCCATTGAGGAAGGATGTCAAGGTGACGGAAGCACCGAAGCCGAAGCAGTCTAACTAGACGAAGGATTCGAGAGGATCAACAGAGGTCGTCCTAGTCGCATCAGGTAAGACGTATGCTGATGTGTTGGGAAAGCTCCGCAAGGAAGTTAATCCTCACATTAGCCACACGAGAGGTTTGGTGGCAAGGCCCACTAAAAAGAGAGCCCTCTTGATCAAGGTCGAAGGTGACTCGGACAAGGTAGCTTTTACCGCCAACGTGATCAAGGCTGTTGTCAGTATGGGTAAGGTGCAGACGATGGATCGGAAGGTTACACTCGAGATCCGCGACCTGGATTTCCTTACCCATGAAGCAGAAGTCCAGAAAGCGCTGGAACGAGAGCTCGGAAAGCCAGGAAGCAGGAAGGTGACCGTCTTAGGACCCAACAAGCGAGGGATGAAGCTCGCAGTTGTTGTCACCGACCAAGAAGAGGCTGCCAAACTGGAGACAAGGATCCTCTCAACCACGTCGCTGGAAGTGGAGCATGTAGAGTTTTTAGGTCAGCCCTCGAGGAAGCCAAGAAGACTCTCGCAAGAACCGAAGCCAAATAGGCCAGTAAGATCGGCAACGGCAAGAGTCGCGATAGCGAGATCCCAGGGACCTTCACCTACGAAGTTTAAAGCTTGACAACAGTTCCGTAGTGTGAGGATTAGTCCAGCCAAAGGGTGTGGTTTTTAGTGGGTCTACCAGAACAAGAACGGCCATCCCCACATAACCTCGGAGCACCAAATACTAATACTACAAATTTAGACCTGAGAAAATACAAATTAGTATACATGTGTATTTTTACGTGTAGATTATAGGAAAAATATAGCGGACTTGATTGGAGGTTACGGTTATAAGTTAATAAGGAAAGAAAGAATTTTTTTTAAATGCAGAATAAAAGCCCTTTAGTCCTCCCTAACAAATTATCGAGTTTTTATTGGTGTATGGAACCCTCGGTTTTAGAGCAAGTACAACTCGCTCTTGTTTGATTTTTTTAGAATATTCTTTATTTAAATTAGAAAATGTGAAAAATTAAGATAATTTACATAAAATAAAATAATAGATAAGATAATAAAAGATTAATTACAGATCACTTAGATAAAATTAAATTATTTTAAAAATACTTGAAGTAGACTAGGTAAATAGTTTCATTTGCTGGTAATACAGATGTAAAAAGTCTTATCTCACTAAAGAACAATATTTAAATTGCATAAAGCACTCGAATTTTTTATAAATAATGCGAAATAAAAATAGAGAGTGCGTACTAGAATTAAAAACTGTTAAATATGATGTGATGCACAATTCCGCACTAACGCTGATGCATAACTCCCCATTTTATACATTTTCAAAATAGTCACAGAATCATTGATACATCCAATGTTTTTGCAAAATTTGTTTTGTACGCCGAACAGTTATTACCCTCACAGCACAACATATTGCTGTAAGGTTATGGCATTATTAATTTTATGGATTTTAAGGTTACATCGTAAGCCAGTAATAAACTTACGGTGGACTTTAAAGATCCGTCCTGATAGGAAGGTTACATGTACAGGTTATAGTAATGTTACATGTTAAGGTTATAGTAATGTTACATGTAAAGGTTGTATTTAGCTTACTCGGTAAGATTGTGATAAACTTACGCGGTAAGGTATAATGGTAAGTTAATATTGTAAGCTAACTGTGAGGTTAGAATTATTATTCAAATATAATAAAATATAATTATATTAAACTATATATTATAATACAAATTTTTTACAAATTATTACATACACTGGAGCTGCCGAAGGTGAGTTCTCTGAAGGTGAGAACGAGACGGGAGGTTAAGTGGATAGGCGGGACGGACAGCAGCACTCTGAAAACAGGAGCGTTTGATTTTAGTGTTCCATAATCCCCCGTAGTCGCAATTTAATAACTAAATGAAGAATGTAACAGTCAAAATTTTAGAGTATGTAGGTACTCATTATAATTGAAAATAAATATTAATTATAATCAAAATACAACATTTATCAATTTTTGTGTACATAAGTACTACAAATGCCAATGACACCTTATATTCCTCTATACTATACTACGTACGGCCCTGAGTGTTTACAATATTTGACCGCCAAACGGCATGAAGGACGAATTCTGAAGGTGAGAACCAAGTCTTTTCCATTCTCACCTTCAGAAGTTCCACTGTATTTAGTAAAGTATAACCTATTCTTTAGGATGTCACCTTTCTAAAATTTTTTGAGTTGTTTTAGACTCAAAATTTCGCAGTGTAAAATGCCCACCGTTTTCCCTATTTAAAAAAACATTATTTACTAGATGCGCCATATTGGTCGACATTTCGAATTTTTTTGAAAATGAAATATATGTTTTAAAAGTTCAAAGATGTACCTTCATTTAAGGGGAGGTTCCACTGGTTTTTTTTTAAAAATCAAAAATTTTTTTTTTTCATTTTTGGTTATAGTATACATACCTAAGAATACGGTAAAAATAGTCTAATGCACAAAACTCGCCCTTAAGAGTACTTATGACAGCGAAAACGCTACCCCCTTCATGCGAAGCGAGGTACAGTAGAATAAAAGTGCAATTTTTGTTTTGAAATTCTATCGAAGCGGCAAATGTTAACCGATTTTAATGCATCTTTTTGCAAAACTATCATGAAGAATTTCTTTTTAAAATAAGCTGCCGCGACTATGAAATTACAAAATGGCGGATCCAATATGACGTTAAAATGTTTTTAAAAAAAGTTTAAAGTTACCAATTACGGTGGAAAATTTTTATTTGGGGGTTTTTAGGGTCGTTAAATAAGAATTTGACATTAGATTTTCAAAATTCAAAATGGCAGTTCCAATATGGCGGATAAATTAAAAAAATTCAAGAATGGGCAAACTGGCCCAACTTGTTACTCGGGGGTTTTTGGGGTCGCTGATTACGAATCTGAAGACAGATTTAAATAATTCAAAATGGCGGACAAATGTTTTTAAAAATTGTCGAATTTATCTGAATCATGGTATCTAGGGGTTTCTGGGGTCGCTGATTACGAATCTGAAGCCATTTTTCAAGAATTCTTTCACCATAGTCGATCCTCCATTTTTATTTTCATAAATCTTGATAATATGACTTCAAATTCCTAATCAGTGACCATAAAAACTCCTAAATACCATGTTTCAGATGAATTAGACAATTTTTAAAAAGTAACATTAAATTCGTGATCAGCGACCCCAAAAACCCCCAATTGACGACTTTCAAGTAAATCCGATGAATTTTTGTAAAACTCGTCCGCCATATTGGATCCGCCATTTTGAATTTCTAAAAAGTAACATTAAATTCATAATCAGCGACCCCAAAAACACCCGAGTGACGAGTTTAAAGTAAATCCGATAAATTTTTGTAAAACTCGTCCACCATATTGGATCCGCTATTTAAAATTTTTAAAAAGTAACATTAAATTCGTGATCAGCGACCCCAAAAACCCCCGAGTAACAAAATTCAAGTGAATTCATTGAGTTTTTGTCAACTTGAAAAATATTATCCAAAATTTTGATATAAAAACTTTAAACGCGTTTTTCTCGAAACCACATATTTTCAACTGGTTCACACTCTCATTTTAACAATACTTAACCAATTAACTTGATTTTTGGACAGCATGTTCCTTGAATGTGTAGTTTTCGTGTGGACTAGGATTTTGAAAATTCATTAATATTTAAAAAAGTTATAAACAATTTAAGTTGCAAAATTATGATAAAAAAATTCAAAAGTCTGTCCTTCGGTTATTTTTTAATAAAAAATTCTGATTCTAGTCAACACGATAGCCAAAATGGTACAGATTAAGAAACTATTTACTTTTTTCATTTTAGATTAACCGTTCCAGAGAAAAAGTGTGAACCACTTTTAGAGAGGACCACTTTTGGCAGCCTTTTTATAAGACGCCATTTCGAAAAAAAAATAATAATAATTTTCGATTATCTTAAGACATGTATTTTGAGATAAAAAAATTTTAAGTAACAAATATTTTTTTTACTATAAAAAAAAAATCTTTGAAAAAAAACATCAAAACCAGTGGAACATCCCCTTAAAAAAAATTACTAAGTCATAACCGTTCCCCGCAAAAAGTTGTCAAAATGTGTGTTGATTTTGGCCTCAATGTAAACTTACAGTAAGATTAAGGTAAACATTTCTACGATTTATTTTAATGTAAATTAGATTAATAATTCAATTAATTTTAATAATAAACTTTTTTTGAGTCTACTTTTTAATAATGTCTTACAATATTATTTTGATGATTTTTTTTGAGTATTATGGACTTGCACCCCCTATCCCAAACTTTATAAGCAAGAATTATCATATTACAGAATTTCATTTTTTATAATTTGATGATGATTGATTGATTTGTTTTAATTATGAATTGAAGAAAAAACTATTTAAGATAAGTACATTTTACTAGCTAAATAATAATTAATAATTTTCACTTTGCTGAATGCTAAAATTGTAGAAGTTTAAATTTTTGAAATGTTTATTAATAATATTCTCGAAGGTACAGTAAAATGGAATGAAGAATTTTTTTATTGATGGAATGTTTTTAGTATGGATTTTTATTTACATACTTCTTTATTTATTAGAATTCTAATATATTATTTTATGTAATTATTAACATTTTTATTCTTCGATATCTTTCTATAATTAATTTTTTTTAAATTAATTTGTATTGAATTTACAATTAATATTTTGTAATTTTTGTTCCCTTTATTTATCGATGGTTAAATTTTTTATAATATTTAATAATTATTATACGCAAATTTTATTACATTTAATTTCTATACACGGAGAAACTTTGAGTATTACTTTTTCTTAAACTCACTATGTATTTTTAGTAAATTTACTACTAAAGTGGGGAAAAACTGTAACGATATTAATTTTTTTATAACACCTTGCGTCCAAAACTCGACTAAATCGCCGTCTTTTACGCACTAGTGCTTAAAAGGAGGGGAAATCGTACTTTTACGTACACTTTCCCCTTCCATCACAGCAATTTAGTCGAGTTTTTGACGCAAAATGTTATAAAAAATTATGTATGGAACATAGGCGCAAATAGGGGAATCGAGACTCGCGTGATTGTCACTCACACGAGTCTCGATTCCCCTGCTTATTGCGCCCTTGCCACATAAATAACTATTCTTAGTCTGACTACTAAAATTTAGCATTTGATCGAAAATTAAATTTCACGAAAAAACATATCGTCTTCGCCTTGGTGTTTCCGCTGTCTTGTCTTGATTAATAACTTTGTCGTATAAGTATTGTATCGCACCTAACCTCACTTTTAATGACACGAAGTAACACAAATACACTTCAACTTTACAAAAAAAGAAAAAACAAAAATAGTGTTCATTTGAAACCGATTCTCAATAATTAAAAGAATTATAAACTTGGATAAGAGATGTACATGACATGATATATTTTTTTGGGGGGGTTTCATAAACAAGCTCACATGTGCTCAGGAGAGTACTGTATGTTTTAAGCGCCCCTAACTTCATAAAAACAGTATTTTCGATGTATAATCTAACCGGATTGTGAAATTTTAAACACAGAAAAAGAAAAATAACCTAAAGTAAAGCCTCATTAATATTATTTATGATTCAATTAAAAGTTAATTAATAATTGTTGCGATTAAGTCGGGGCTTCATCTAACCCTTTTTAGTTAGGACACTGTCTACTTCGAATTTTTCTTAACTTGACTACTAAATATTGAAAAAAAGAAGTCATATATTGTTAAAGAGACTTCTATTAAATAAGAAATTTCGTCTTTTTTTCGTTTTTTCCCCACTTTAGTAGTCAATTTACTAAAAATACATATGAGTTTAACAAAAAGTGATACACAAAGTTTCTCCGTGTATTACTAAATTTTCATTTATCTTAATTCTCGTATATGTACAGAACAGAGAGGAAGCTCAAACGAAAAATTTTCTTACCTACAGAGAAAATTTTGTAATATGAAAATTCTGTATTCTTAGATTTCAATTAAACATGTATTCATAACTACATTAGTTTATGTTTAAAAAAATTGTCGCTTATAAAAATGATGAAAAATGAACATTAAGTAATATCATAATTCATTAAAAGTAAATTTATCTTACATAATAAATAAAGTAAAAAAAATAGATAAATATTAAAATTTTAAACTATTAACCTTTATTGGACTGAGGAAAAAAATACCTTCTAAGGGCGGACGAGGTACCCGGGTACCTATGCCCATGTGCGAAATGCCAAGACTGACAATACGGCCCAACATTGGCCCAGTAATGTCTGCCGAAGTATGGCAAACGTTACTTAACCAGTACTGGCGATCAATTCGTCCCATTATTGGGCCAATATTGGCACCAATTCTCGGTTACTCTAATTTGACATTATTGGGCCGAACTCTGTCCCATTCCTGGGCCAATATTGGCAATGTGTCTCAGTTACTCCAATTTGCCATAATTGGGTCGAACTCTGTCCCATTACTGGGTCATTATTGGCTCATTGACGGCTGAAATGTTGAATTTATTTTGAAAAGTTATTTTTTCCAAAGTTGGAACGAATCTTGGCCCAGTAATGGCGCATTAACGGCTGAAATGTTCCTCAAATGCAGCTTATTAAAACATTTTTGTGTTGAGTTTCCCATATCCGCGTATAGTGTAGTGGTTAGCGTGTTAGACTTTGGTGCGTTAGGTTGCGAGTTCGATTCCCGCGAGCGTTACAAATTTTCAAATGTTTAATGCAGTTCAATTAATTTTAAGTGTAGTGGACGTTTCAATGATAGTAGTAATCACATAATATGAATACACATTAAAAAGAAGTCTTATTTTAAGGCCGAAAATAGGTCTTATT